TTTAAATTGTAGTTCTGAAAAAATTTGCAATTTTAGTTTATGTAACTATTTTCCTTATCATCCGTAAATTAACATTATATTGCAAAAGTTATCAGGGTAATCTCCAAGCATCTTTATTCTTTATATTACCTTTTTATTACCATATATGCACTACTATAGATATTGGGCGGTAATATAGCCATATAGGCAGTATTCTAACCACCTAGGCAATATTCAAGCTACATAGGCAATATTTTATCCCCCTAGGCCATATTCTATCCACATAGGCACTATTATAGTCACATATGCATTACTATTGCCACACACACAGTACTTAAGTCACATTAGCAGCTCTCTTGCCACTCAGGCAATAATCTAGGCACCTAAGCATTTATCTAGTCATACATGCAATATTTTAGCCACATAGTCAATATTCTAGTCACAAAAGCATTACTATTGTCACATAAGCAATACTTTAGTCACGTAAACAGTTCTCTAGCCACTCAGTCACTAATCTAGTTACATAATCATTTATCAATCCATACATATACTAATTTAATCAAAAACTCAATTGCAAACATTATTCAAACATTTCTCTATTTTACCGTTTTCTCTGGCCACTCAGGCAGTAGTCTAGTTACACAAGCATTTATCTATCCTAACTTGCACTAATCTAATCAAAAAAGTCACATAGGCACATGTTATTCAAACATTTCTATATTCTACAATTTTCTATAAGTATTTGGTATATGAGTAAAACATTTATTTCTTTATATAAAATGTGTACAACATTTATTACATTTATTACTACAATGTTGCCTTTTTCCTACATTCATTTATGCATAAAAATGGTGGAAAGCATCCCATCCATATTCCTTAACAAGTTTGTATTGAAAGGCTTGATTCTGCGATGTATGTAGTCCCTCATAGTGTCCCATCATGCTGCACACAGTACATCTATGTGTTTTGTATAATATACAATCCTCCTTGTCATGTACTTCACTGCCGCATGCTAAACAGTGGGGTAGTACTCATGATGGGCCTGCAGCAGGGCTGTACATGTCCATTTGGCTTGAGCTGTGTGTCCGTGGTGGACTATAACAGTCTGAAGCACAACTACTTTGGGACACTAGTGCTGGCCTTGGCTCATGGATTACAGTTAATTTACTTAGCATGGCCTCGATGTTTTTCATCCTCTTATCTTGTTCATCCAGCTTTCTGTGTACTGCCCTGAGGCTATTCATTATTTGCACTTGATTTATGGACTTCTCCACACTTTCTGCCATCAGTTCTAGCAGAGCATTATCTACGCTGTCCAGGGAGTCAAATGTAACATTTAATTTAGGGGACCCCTGGCCCTCGCCATCAGTCAGCTCATCAATCCTGCCACCAATACCACTGTTTTCCGGCATTTCCTCTCGCTGAGACCTTTGGAAGTTGTCTAGCTGCCGCTTGTGTTCCTTTGATAACCGGTCTTTTATTACAAGTCCATGTCACTAGGTCTTTTATCACTGCAATCATCTTTACTGGAGCTGACAGACGGTGTAGGCCGTTCAGAGTTTTCTTAACTTGTCCATACTTGCTATTTAGTACATGCTTTGCATCCTTGTATATAGCTGATACAGCCAGACAATCAACCGTGCATCCCTGTTGGGCTGTATAGGTTCGTAGAATTTGTGCGCTATTAGGCTCATTTATCATGTATGAAAAATATTTCGGCTCTTTTTTGTACCGTACAATAACAATATATGCAATCCTCTTTCCCTAGAGTATGTATGTGTACTAGTTTACCTGTTAATCCTATCATTAAATTGTTACATTTTTTAATTGTCACTGTTCTGTATTATTACAGCTGTTTTTTTTTGTTTTATAAAACCATTTTGTGTTGAGTTCAGTTGCGTCTGACTCACAGTTTGGCATTACGGGTATAATTTTTTCTGGTATTACGCTCTGTTATTATGTATGTAAAATATTATTATTTTTATGTAATAAAGCAATGTATGCTATTCTGATTCTCTAGAGTGTGTATATGTACCAATTTACGTGTTTATTTAGTCGTTACATTATTGTGTTTTTGACACCCCATTGTGTTGTTATTATGTTGAGTTTATTTGTGTCTGACTCCCGGTTTGACATCAGCTATTATTGTCATTTGTACTTATCCGTCATTGTCGTCTCATATGTCTCCACATACTCATATACACTTTCCACGCCTAGTAATATTTTCCGTTCTCCTTGTATATTTTTGAATTATTTCCTGTTGTCATCATAATGTATACATATACATTGCATTTCAACATGTCTTTTTAGTTGATTAGCATTGGTCGTAATATTCTCACACTCGTTACATGTACCGATTTCCAACTAATTTATACATTATCATTTTGTTTTTAGCATGCTCACAATCGTAACAATGGTTTATGCTGTCATATATTAATATTTGTTGAGTTTTGTTTCACCAAGAGTTTTTAGTTGCTTAGCATGGATCGTAACATTCTCACACTCATTACATGCACCAATTCCCAACTAATTCATACATTGTCCTTTTGTTTTAACATACTCACAATCATAATAATGTGTTATACTATCATAGACTAATATTTGTTGGGTTTTGTTTCAACATGAGTTTTTAGTTGATTAGTATGTGTCGTAACATTCTCACACTCATTTCATGTACCGATTTCCAACTAATTCATACATTATCATTTTGTTTTTTAGCATACTCACAATCTTTACTATGTGTTATTACAACTTTTTCTTCATTTTTATTCTGCGATATTTGCTCTTTTGATATGTCTTGTGTGCTGTTTCAACATGAGTTTTCAGTTGATTAGCATAGTTCGTAGCATTCTCACACTAATTACATGGAACTGAATTATACATTTCCGTTTTAATTTTAGCATACTCACAATCATTACGCTGTGATATATTATCATAGATTGATAAAACAATTATTCTTTAGAATTCAGTTGATTACTATTGCATGTCTAAGCATGTAAATACGTTTTAAATGAGTACAGAAAGTACTTTCCAGAAAAGTTTTGTTGTATTTCTTAACGAGACCTATTTATAATTTTGCAGCCCCAAATTGCCATATTATTCTTTATATTTTTGGGTGTCAAAATATTCTAATTGTCCATAAGAGTTGTTCTATCTTGAATCAAGATCTATTTATACCTTCATATTATGGTAATAAATTGTCTCTGTGCCAGACATCTATGTTTATAGAAAAAACTAGATTTATTGATAAAACGCATATATTTTTCTGTTATCACTGACATTTATTGATAAAACACATTTATATATTTCTGTTACCACTGATATTTAAACTGTTTCATAAAAACACATTTTAGATTTCTATCAAGTTTTCATTTTACATGTTACACATTGTATTATTATAATCAGCACAAAATGATAAAACTTTCATACACAACATTGCAATATCCGGTTCAATGCATTCTTAGTAGTTGCGTCCACCGCGTCCTCTCTTACCATATCCTAGGACACGTCCTCGTCCCCTACGTCCAGAGTAACTTCCCGAAGTGCTTTGCTGCTCACCTACAGCCATAAAGTGCCCGAATGCTTCCGTCCCATGGAAGTTAACAATTTTGATTCTGTCCGCTTGGTTCATGACATCGTGGAGTCTAGCAGCATGCCCTGGTTTTCCGCATTTATTACAGTCCTTCTCCTAGTTGCATGAGTCCTGTTTATGCACGAACAGTCCACATTTCATGCATCTTACCTTCTCTGTATAGTCACTTAACTTGTGGTTATCCGTCTTCTAGTGAGCCCTGGAACATGGGTTCCTGGATCTCTTCCATTGGCTCAGGCTGGCATACTCTGCCTGCAATCTTTTGCAGTAGTTTTAGTGTACCATCAACAGCAATGCATTCGCTGGAATGTTTATCCAATCTACTATGTACCTTTGCCACACTTTCCATTATCTCCGTGCATTTATTCAGGATTGTCTCCATCTTCTCCTCTGTGGATATATTAGCTTTGATAATCATATCTTCCATCCCACAGCTTGTACGGACCAGCTCATCTAGGCGTGCATCATTTTCCTGATCTTTGCCTTCCTCCTTAAGCTTAACTGCTTGCCATACATTAGATGGTCTAGTCAGTAGAATCTTGATGACATCATCTTTAAGCTTAGATCCGAAGGCCTTGTCCTTGAACAAGTTTTTCCTGTTGATTCTTTGTATAACCTCTGGGATGGATACTGGCCTAGTCTCCGGATTGAATTTGACATCCTTATGGACCAGATCATGTATTCTCTTTAGTAGGATTTCTCTGTCTCCAGACGCCTCGGGGACCGCCTCAATGGTCATTGCCAGTTTTGATGCCTTTATCATTTATAAAATTGTAATTTTTAACTTTTTTAGCAAACTCTTTTCCACAAAATTTTTGTCTTGGACACCTCTAAAATAACCCCCACCCTATCTTCTTGATTTGAACGGAACAGGGAATGGAAACGTTCTTGACTAAGAACGGAACGGGGGATGGAACCATTGTTTGACTAAGCACACCAAGAATGGAATGGGATGACTGCTCTTTGACTAAGAATGGAACAGAATGGTATGTAACAAGAACGGAACAAATTGGAAAAAAAGGAACGAAAACGGAACGATCTGAAAGCTGAAAGCCCTCAATCTAGAAAGGAACTGAACGATTTTAAAAAACTTGGAATGTGCTCAGCCCTAGTCAACTCAACATCTTTATTTGTACTTTACTTGCCTGTCTGTTTGCTTGTTTGAATCCATTAAACGACAAAACAGCTGAACTGATTGGGTCTAAATTTTTTGTCGTATCTTGTGTGACTGCAGGGAAGGTTTATGGATGATAAAATTTTCAACAAATTTTTTAAAAAGTTATAAAATAGTAAATATAAATACTCAGGGAACAGGATCCGAAGAGTTTTTCTTTCATAATTTGAAATAATTTTTTGTCATCTCAGTGAGTCTAAAAGATAAAAAAATGGAGACCTATTTTTAAATATAAAGTTTTTATATGAGCTGTTTTATGTGGGCCGCCATTTTTTGTGAGTTCATTCCATAATACCTCGCAGAGGATCAAAAACAATTTTTAAGTCAAAGGTTTTATTTTTCAATCACTAAACGTTCATACCTGGCCATATCCTCCTACAGTTACAATAGTAGTTGCAGGAATACATTGCAGTTCATCAATATTTCTACTCCAAGTATTAGAGATACAGTAAGTACCTACAAACCAGATAAACTTATTTAAACATGGTAAATCCTCCCAAAAAATGGTTTCAGTTTTTTTGTACAAAACAAAAAATGGGTTCCTGGAAAGCATTTTAAGGCATGTTTTTAAGCAACATGATATATTTATATGCGTGTTTCTACAATCTAAATAATCTGGATGTTTATTATAAGATTTTAAAAATTTAAAACTGTATATTTGTCTACCTGTGTGCAGCTTTGGTACATATCCAGGTTTGCACATCAGAAAGCATCTCTCTACAAATATAGCTTTAATGATCTGAATAAAAATTTTAATAAATTTCTTTTTACCAATTTCACTGTCATTGTAGCAATGAAACTTTCCATATGGTTGGTTCTTCGGGATCTCACATTTCAATTTGAATTCAGGCTCTGTATGGAAATAAGAAATATGAATTGAGGTNGCAAACTCTGGATAATTTTAAGTACAATGGGACAGTACACCAATTACATCATCCCCTTAAACCCTTCTTGAGAAATGTATTTAAGTTATTTTTGATGTTCTGGGGGGAAATACATAATTGAATATAAAATCAATTTATGTCATTGTAATGGGTATTATTAATTGCGAAACAGCAAAAACTTTTTCGCACGCATGATACCCATTTCAATAACATATATAGTTTTATTCAATTTTACTCAAATTATTTAAAAGCAGGTCGATAAATTGGGTATGAAATTTGAAATTTTAATAGCAGGGTGAAAAAGTGCCTTTTTCACCCTGTTGTAGGGTGATAAAGGCACTTAATCACCCTTCAACGGGAAATATTATGGTGTGATAAATTCCAAAAGTATTTATGATACTTTTTGTCCAAAAATTGACTTATTTTCCCAATTCTGGGTGGGAACATTCATAGAGGGAAATACAGTGGTCGGCGATTTTATCAACAAATGAAGACGATGTTTTAATTTATGTTTTGATTGTTGACTAGCTTTTTATGTAGTACAAGTTTACAAGTAAAAAAGAGAAGCTTTTTTAATTGACATCTTCTCTTTGTTTCCAGGTTTATGTGTACCCATGCTGTTTAAAAGCTTGATATAAAACAAAATTTAAATCAAAAGTCGTCTTCATTGTATTGATACATGCGACTACGACTGTATGTTAATCAGACTTCAAGGGATTTTAAGTAATTGTTAGATTGGCATACAGTGAAATGGCGATTTTATGAATTATTTCAAATATAAAAACGACAATATCTCTCTTATGTATACTTTTAATGAATTTTAAAGGATACATTTGTGACTCTTTAGCTGGAGGTACAGTTTAAATCAAAAATAAATCTTTGTAAATGATGAAATCTGTGAGTGATCTGAATATTTAGATATTTATAGAATATAAGATGGAAATATTTTGAGATTTCAATATTTCTTGTTCTTTATTTTCTTCTTTTTTTGTACATCTTTCAATCACATTTTGGCTAATTTTGAAAAAAAGAAGATTTTTTTTGGATGTCCTTGTAGTTTGCCACTTTACAAGAAAAAAAAGATCTTGCTTTTTTCCGAACCCTGTATTTAATTGAACTAGCTGAGGATCTTGCTTCTTTTCTGAACTCTACTCTTGAGTTGCATCTGACCTTTTTCTGAAATCTGAATTGAACTCTGAAATGTTAGCATGTGTTGTGCAATCTTGGCAACAGTCAAACACACTGTTCTTAGGTTTTTTTTTGTAGAGTAGAATAATTAGAAGGAGGGGACATATCATTCCCTTTCCTAATGTTGTCTAAATTTGTTGTCCAAAAATATGACAGTGTCTGGACATAAGAGATTCACTTCTATTTTTTTTTCCTTTTCCTGTTCGATTTTCTTTTTTCTTCTTATTAATTGTTTCAACATTTTGAGGTCTCTCCAAATAGTTCTTGTGACATCGAGTTATGGAGCAGGTAGGAGAGTGATAATTGGATGTTTGTAGGAGGAAGGATATAGGGGATTGCTCCCTGTGTTCCTTCTGTTATACTCTTTCCAAGTTAAGGGCATTTTAAGGAAAGCCCATAACTGCAACCCCTTATGCAAAATGGGGAGTTGTAAGCCCTTGATCCCCATTACCTCAAGATGAATCCGACTACTCCTCTCCATGAGGATCCTCTCAATGACCTTCCTCCTGAAACCCCTCATCAGGAAGCTCAAAGATGTACAAGAAACAATCCCTGCAGAATGCAAGGATGCATGATATGCCCTACGCCTACCAACCATGTCCGTAACCTAGTCGGGGAATTGAACATCGACGAATCCAACTCTACCCTCCCACCCCCCTCAGACCTCCCTCAACCCTCTCCAGATCACCTCATCTCTATGTCCACCCGCAGGCTTCATACATTAATCCAACAAAATAACGTAGAACTCTTGAAAAGCACCATCAAACTGCTCCAGAAAACATGCGATTCTAACCTTGAATTCCTTAAGTATGACTGCTCCGACCTTAAGGCCACTCCAAGACCGCCTCGGACCTCCTCACCATCTACTACTCTTTATCCACCACCAAACCTGCCTCCCCCCCCCCTCTTCTCAGCACAGCCAACAACCTCACGCCAGTTTCAAACCTCCTAAACCAACTACTCCTCTACATGAGGATACTCTCACTTTCGAGATGAACCCAATTACTCCTCTTCACGAGGATACTCTCACTTTTGAGATAAACCCAATTACTCCTCTACAGGAGGATACTCTCACCTTTGAGATAAACCCAACTACTCCTCTACATGAGGATACTCTCACCTTCGAGATGAATCCAGTTACTCCTCTCCACGAGGATACCTCTTATGGTCAACCTCCTGAAACCCCTCATCAGGAAGTTCAAAGATGTACAAGAAACACTCCCTGCAAACTACCAGGATGCATGATCTGTCAAACCCCTACTAAACCAGGTTCCTCAAATTCACTGGTTTCCCCAACCTATCCTAACCCTCCTATTGAACCAGACCTCTGTCCAATCCAGAGGTTCCAACCAACCCACTCGAACCTGATCCTCCAACCAATCCTAACCCTACGACCAATCCAGCTCATCCGATCGAACCTGACCCTCTCGCCAAACCAGCCCGACCCATCGAGCCTGATCCCCAGCCTCAACTCAGACTCCACAGAAGCAAGGAATCTAGCTCCAGCTCCGAGTTCCAGACCAGAGCCTGCTCAGGATGAGTTCCATGCAGATCACACCGAAACTGAGCAACTGAATTGCATTCTAAGCTCAAACTAGAACCAGTCCAAGATTGATCGCAGGAATCAATTATTGAAACATTTTAATTTCATTTCTTTTTTTTCCCAGAACTCTGGAAAACATTTCAATCCAAATTACTTAAAATTTTCCTTTAAAAAAAAACAAAATAATAAAAGAAATATATGCTGAATAAAGAACATTAAAATTAAAGATTATTGACATTGATATAATCAATTACGTTTATTTCTTGAATCATTAATGGCCTTTTCTGGTTTAATTAATCCTTGCAGTCTAACTCTTCATTTTAATACATAATCAAGATCTCAGTTCATTTTCAGTTTGCTGTCAATCCTTATTTTACAAAAAAAAAATATTATCCTGGCAATCAAATTACAGAAATATGTACAACATGAAGTCATTTTACTCCATTGTTCTAATTTCATCAACTATCCGCCTGTTAAGCGCAGTATTAATTAATGTATCTCGTAATATTACCTCTGTTTATTTCAATCGATCAATCTAGTACATATCAATCATTCAAACTACATGTTTCTTATATTGTTAATGGTTATGCTTTGATTTTTGTATGATAACCAAACATCCTCAAACCCTGCCTGGGGCCAGTGTTAACCATTAACTTTAAGACCTCCGGGTAATGTCGTCTTCAACTTAAAATCTCCTCTCGGAGAAAACCAAACCAAATAATTTCAGTCCGCATTCTCTTTGTACTCTGTCCCACGGAGCTTAAAACATTTTCGTTTATTGTGAAATCATTAAAGTTAAGCAAGAATATTTTCATATGAAGCATTAGTGAATTTCGTTAAATATTCAGCTGTAATTTTTTTCAGAAGTTTTAAAATGTATTTCAATACTGATTAACAATAAGTTTCCCCTCTATCATACCTAAATAAATCGTAAGATTTTTTCTATTATTAATGTTTATTATAACATTGTACAAGTAACCATGACCTATAATTTATGTTATTTTTTAGGAAATAAAGCTTTTGTTATCGATTTTCTTGAGACGGGGTTACTCTGTGTGTGTATTTGCGGCCGACCGGAAAGGAATTATCCGGACATTGAGAGGAATCTTCAACTTCAGTCCAGTCCTCACAGCTGGTAGAGTTGAGCATGGTTTGTTTACCCATCAAGGATTAGACTCCTTTCATTTACACCAAGCTGAAGATGAAGTCTTATTTATTCTATGTACATTCCTTACTCCCCTGTGGAATATGAGTAGTGTTGTTAATCCTTTTAAAAACGATCGTTAAAAAATTATTTTTTGTTTCATTTCTTTATCGTTTTCAAAAACAATCATTTTGTTTTTGGAAAAAAATGATTGTTTTAGAAAACGATCCAATTGTTTGGAACTTTTAGAAACGAATAACAGTTTTTTTTTTCAGCGATAGTTTTACTCTGCGATTGTTTATTAAAAAACAATCATTTTAAAAGAAATTGTCATTGATAAATATGTTAACAAAGGGTCGTTGTTAACGATAGTTAAAAAGGGTTGTAACAACTATCATTAACAAAGAGACAGATTTGATAAAAACTGTTGTTCTTGAAAAAACTTTCCTTTTTGAAAAAAATTATATGAAACTTTATCGAATGTCGTCTTACATGAAGGAAAAAAGTTGTGGTGGAGCTGAAACTTCTTGATTTTTTTTTAAAAACTGCTCAATGATAAGTATGCTGATGCCCCTTCAGTGATCGTTAACGAATGGTTGTCATTAACAATTGTTAACAAAGGGGTATTGTTAACATAGGGTTGTTGTTGACGATTGTTAACAAAGGGATGTTATTAACGATCATTAACGAAACAATGAGCTTTGTAAAAATTATCATTTTAAAAAACAATCTTTTTTTAAACATGATCGTTTTTTAGAACGATCGTTCCGTTTTTGTTTTTGTGTTGTCGTTTTCATAAAAAAATGAAAACGTTAACATCCCTAACGAGATGTGCAACTTAATGCAGCGCTTTCCCAAATTGTAAAGCTGGGACCGCAATAAGAGAGGTCTAATATCTTTTTATCAAAATCTTATAAATGATCCAATCAAATTAGTAAGTATCAAATATTAAATGATTTGTTTTGAATATTGTATGATGTACCGACTAACAGTTACATTTATGTATTAATTTATTAATTCATTCATTAAAATATATTTGTACACTGTACAGTGCAGTGTACATAAACCTCATAATTGCTTTATCTTTGCTTGTATTTATTGTATCCTCATTGTGTACGATGTAAATACTAGAATGTTGGGTTAATGTTTACCTTGAATTGATGAATTTTGAAACACTTCCACCATTTTGTCTAGCCCCATTCCTTCTTCAACACGTTCTCGATCTTCCACACTCAAAACAGAAATGTTAAATGTATTTGTTAAAGGGTCTGAAGAACGTAGCTTCCATACAAAATCAGAAAGTTACTATATACGACTCGTATCGTAATAATAATCAATTTAATTTTAAACAAATCATTCATATATTGCAAAAAATAGCCAACGATTATTTTCAACGCATTCGTATATAGTTAATATTTCATAATATTTTTGATTTTGTTTTTAAAAAATACTATTTCACTGGCGCTGGATTTTCGAACATTCCTGGTAAATATGAAAATGTCGTCTTTATTACCAAAAAACCTCGAAACAGGAATAAAAGTAACTATCAGATCATAAAAAATAAGAAAACCTTATGAAATATCAACTACATAAGGATGCATCGAAAAATTATGGATGATTATTGGTTGTAATATTTAAATGATTTGTTTGGAACTCAGGTTTGGAATTAAATCGATTCTTTTATACGATCCGAGTTGAATGTAGCAACTTTCTGAATTTTTCTTGAACACAGATTTACATCATGAATATTAAAGAAAGATGGAAAAATATGTTTTATTTAATTATTTATTTTTAAAAAATCCAGACCTGAGACTATCAATGCTAGAGACACAGAAATATCCAGGGCCTCTGAAAAAGAAGTAAAAACAGTGTCTTAAAGCCAAATAATCAAATTTTGTATTGTTGTATTTTTCTAAATTAACTTTTTGGAAATATTGCAAACAGTAGATTTACATTTAAACTTTCACAAGACTACAATTAATGAGGGTTTTGCTAAATACTAAATACTAGTGCTACAAAAAAGCATAAGTGAGTTAGTTAGGTAAAAACATAGGCTACGTGGTTTGAGTCGGCAAAGTTTAAAAAATGGATCCAACTTTGTATAACAGTCTAGATTTGTGTAAGATTAAAATTAAACCATTTACCTCATACATTGTTTTCCAACATAACATGTTTCCTTTCTCACCAAGAACAGTGAACAGTCAATACCCTTGGCTTAAGTAAATTTTATCAATTCTTGTTCTATGTTAAAGGAACTGTATAACAGTATTCTCATGTGACTATTTATAGAGCGGCATGTCTGATTGACGATGGTATCTAATAAAAAGTTGTGGTTTCTGTAAAAAAGAATGTGAAGGAAATTATTACAATGAAACACTTTTCTAGAAAGAAAATTATTTAATTGAATTGAAATGACGAAAAGAAATTGTAAATTTGAAATACCCCTTTAAAAAATAAATAGTTTCTGGAAATTTTAGCAATTAAAAATTGTAAATTATAATTTTTAAAAATGATAAAATGTATACCAAGGTTGGCAAGGCAGAAAAAAGCACACAGTTGTTTGTCATTCACTTGAACTAAATAACATTTCAAAATAACTCAGATTAATTTTTGGTAAAATCTTGCAAATTGATGCAAATAGGGTTTTTTGAAAGGTCTGTGGGTAGAAAAATTAAAATCATTTAATATTTCTCTTTTTCTTTGTGTTTTTCCTACAGGGTGTCCCACGAAACATGACAGTTGGTGAATAGTTTTAAATGTCTTCTTCCATAATTTGTTAAGTTGTCTGATACCAAAGATGATGATAAGAAATACTAAATAGCATTAATATTATAGTACATTTGTTTAAACAAATATATATATTTGAGTAAAGGATTCGTTTAACAAAATAAACTGCAAAAAGTCTTAAATAAATAATACAGTTTCATGGAAGAAGACATTGAAAACCATTCTTCAACTTTCATGTTTCGTGGGACACCCTGTACTCTGAGCTGACAACTTTTTATTTTTGGAACCATTTAATTTCTTTCATAATAAATTAAGTTTTCAATTTAATAAATTATAAAGAATACAAAATTTGCGTAATATAAAATTTAAGAATATATTTTATTTAACCCAAGGTTATAATGCAAGGAAAGTTATTTCAGAGGTGTACGCATCTTTTGTACTGCAGTGTACTGTCTCTGGGCGGTAATGTAAACACAAGACGGATGCCACAGCCTGACTTGGGATCCATCTTTAACATAAAAAATCAATGAAATATTCTGGTCATAGGAAACTATTATGTGAATTATCAAAATTTTCAAAATTTATTGCTTTTATCCTCCTCGGATACTAAACGAACACTGATGTATCTATTCTCGTTTCAAATTCCCCCCAGAGAGAACTGGTTTCGATATGTACTCAGAGTATACGCAACTGCAATTAACATTCCTTGCATTATAACTTTGCTCTAACCTGGGTATGGTTGAATATCCAGATAGTCTCTATAAACTGATGTTTTCTTAAAACTACTGGACTCAACTCCTTCTGTCATCCTTTAAACAAAATTATAAGTAATTCAAAAATGGGAAAAGCCACACCTTCATCTTTGAAGCTTTTTTTTGAGATTTTGCATGAAGGTCAGATTCGTGATTAACTGTAGGAATACATTTTAAAAATGTAAAAATAAAATTTTCAACAACATTTTTTCCCGCATTTTTCGCGTTTCTTTGAAAAAAATAATAAAACATTTGCCCATTAAAAATCGATGAAGCAAGACAAAAAACTATTTTGTTGTTAAAATTGAACAAAAATGAAAAAAAAATTTTCGCCATAAAAAAAGGGGGTAAAATCTTTATTTTTTAAGATAATCTTTTTAGACTCTGCAGAGAAACTGGAATATTGATTTAGGTCTGGCATAAGCTATTGGCGGATTTTTGTATTTTTCAAATCTCAATTATTTACGTTTGTTACATGTGGAGTGTCTAATGTCAATCAATTATTGTGTCCTTTGAGGGGTACCCATTCCCCTGTTTATATAAAATTCTTTGTTATAAACAGAAAATTGGGACAGGGGCGTATACAGGAAATTGTCGAGATAAGGCTTAAATGAGTTTTCTATGCAGGGGGGAGGGGGCAGCACCTGTTAAAAAAGCTTTTAAAAATGCTTGAAATTGAAACTTTGAATGATGCAGAGGAGGCTGACCAGCGCCGTAGCCCGAAACTAAGATGGGGGGGGGAGGGCCGGGCATTGGGACATGTGACCTCTCTAAGTTACCATTTTATTCGTTCTCAAATTTTGCAGAATTTTCTGTTCAATTTTTTTTGAAATTGCAAATTGCAGTTATCAACATTGTCTCATTCAAAAAATTGGCTTTAATTGGTATTATAAGTACCTTGCCATAAAAAGAAAACAAAACCAAAATATCATTTTTATTTTTATATTTAGGCTTTATATCTTTCAATTCCTTTGTGCAACTGCGACACTGTGGAAACAGTGTAAGCTCTAGGCATAGCAAACTGTGCAAACACGAGACTTTCCTAATTTTACATTTATTTTACATAAAATTAAAATAATTTAAGCTGGGACGCAAGTTCCAATCCTTTTTAATGTCCAAAACCTGACAATCTCCTTTTAAATTCATTTATTTATTCTCTGAGAAATCTTTTATTATCTGAATTGAAAAACTTGTTTAATTGCTACAAAATTTCATTGTTAATAAATGTACGTCTTAAACCACTACATATTTCAAAATTCCAAAATTAAAAAATGTCCAAAAATACAAAATGTCCAAAATTACTAAAGTCCAAGGTTAAAAAATATCCAAAGTTACAATATTTGGCTCATTTTATTTTTATGTTCATTTGAATTAATAACCGCAGTGCTCGGCCCCCAAGTCTGTCCTAGCCGCAGCGCTCGGCCAAGAAATTGTCTTGACCTAACCTAACACTGAAATAATGCAAATATTTGAACTATTTCTGGGTTTAGTTGAACTACATTTTTTGTCCATTTGAAGAAGAAATTGTATTATTTAGAGGTATTCAGAGGTTAGGTTAAGACGGTTTCTGGGCCGAGGGCCGAGCACTGTGGATAGAACAGGCTAGGGGCCATACGCTGCGGCTAGTTTTTATTTCAAACATATAAATAGTTCAACTGAACCAATAAATAGTTTAAATGTATGTATTATTTCAGGGTTTGTCTGGGTTAAGACAATCTTGTTCAAATGAACATAAAAATATTTTAACTGGAGCGCATTTAAACTATTTTCTAGTTCGACATTTGAACTATTTTTATATTTAAATATAATGGAATTGGAGCTAAAAAAACATTTCATATATTTTGTAACATTTGAAATTCTTATAGATTATGTATTTATATCTTTTTTAACTTAAATCTTTTGTACATTATATCTTGTGTTGCCTATATCATATGTAATTGTTATTATATATTTTGTAATTATTTTCGTTGTAATTTTCTCTTATGGCTATTTCTGACTATTAATATTAATTAATAATTAAACATTTAATTATTTTGACATTTTTTAGAAAATTTTTGATATTTTATCCCCTTGGACATTTGGACATTTTGTAACATTAAACATTTTGTTATTTGGGTGTTTTGTTATTGAACATTTTGTTTTGGGGCGTTTTGTTTCCACTCCAGCTGTACAGCTAGTACAAATACAGAGTATACTAGGCAAAATGCAGTACTTTTATATCTATATCTTTTTATACTTTGCTTGTCTGTCAGTCTGTTTGTTTGTATCCAATAAACGTCAAAACGGCTGAACTAATCGGGCCCAAATATTGTGTGCGACCTCACATATATCATTACAAATTCCAGACATAAATCCTTGGGATATCAAGGTCAACCATTTGCCCCTCCTCTATTAAGGGTTAATGCAATCCCAGTACCAGTTTCATAAACCACCCAACTCTATTTCTTCCTATAGTTTAATGTCTATCTCTCGTTTAGCAAGATACAGTACATAACACTAAGCTCCTTAAGTCTGTTTAGTTCAGCTACTACTGCTTCTTGGTAGGCCTGTGGTTCAAAGCTGTCCAGGGGTAGTGAAACCATCCAAAGAAGATCCCGAGCTCGGAGCTGCTCCCCAATGGGTTCAATGTTATTTTTGGTTCTTAGATGCTTCCTGCAAGCTATCCTCAGATCCTCTCTTTCATGAAGATCCCCATCCTGTCCTGGATTTGGTAGAGAAGCTTCCCTGGGACCTGAGATGGAATTTAAAGAATTTGAGCCGCGGGTTAAATCCACCAAAACCCAGTCTAAATTAAGCGCCGGCTTAAATCTTGAAACATTTAATACAATTTTAAGTGGAACCAACCATATTTAAACCGCGGCTTAAATTTAAACCGCCGCTCAAATTCTTTAAATTCGGCCACAGGGTTCTCATTTAGCTGCTCCTCATAAGATCTCCAAGATTGTAGAGTTTCTTGTAGCTGCTCCAAATTAGGTGATCTCTGAACAGCTTCTTCTGCTCCTTGTATCTCTTCAGATACAGTTTCAGGGTCCCTAGACTCAGGCTCTTCATTTAGTAGCTCTGGGTTAAGATCATTTGTTGTCCAGTATAGTTGCAACAATGTTATACAGGGTTCTGATACCATTGGAGCGATCATCAGTATTAGTTAATATAATTAATATATAAACTATTTTGCATAAGATAAATTCGCAACCTGATCTCTAATAGTTCTCCTTAAATCTATTTAATTGAAATGTTTTGTTATTATTATTAAAATTAGGTGGAAAAAATAATCAAAACATCCAAGAGCTATTTCCCACCTAATTGCTTTATACTTGTACTGCTAATATAATCATCAATTTGAAATTGTAAACTCGTTCTGTACACAGGTACATGTATTTTAGCAATAAACTTAATCTTATCTTATCAATAGAGTTACACTAGACTGGGCGCAATTGAGAAGGAGGAAAAGACCGGCAACTGAGGCAATCCCGTTAGAGAAGCTGCACTAACGCAGGAAGAAGCCTAGATTGTTGAAAATGTGATTTTCCAACCCCCCCCCCCCCCACTTGATTTTGTAATAAATATAAATATCGTTCGTACAATATTTCAAAACTTGTAATTATATTTTGATTCAATGCGCTGACCGATCCACCAGTCAGCGCTATAGTAACATCTTTAGACTCAATACACGTGTAAAACTTTGTATTAATAACATCGGGTTGAGCAGATAGAGTTGCTTGTGTTTGTTTGTACACAAAGTTTATTCGGAGAGACTGGCAAGTTTTCTTACATTTGTATATTTTCCTATATTTATTCTAAGGAATTCTAAATCACTTCTGTAGCCTTAAAACTGGAAACTTTTGTAAAATGCATAACTTAATACTCTTAAAGTGAGTGTTCACGAAAAATGAAAGGGGGTTATAGGCTTACGGCGAAAAATAATCGCTTTTGATTAATACTAATCTAACTTCTATCTGTTGCGTCTATAAGGAGAAAATTGTTAAAAACAACTTAAACTGAAGAACGTAGCGTCCATACAAATTCAGAAAGTTGCAATATACAACTCGTATCGTAAAATAATCAATTTAATTTTAAACAAATCATTCAGTTATTACAACCTAAAGTAATTGATTATTTTTCGACGCATTCTTATATAGCTAATATTTCATAATATTTGTTATTTGTTTTATATACAGTGCACTTAAAACGACTTTTTTTCTACTAGGTGTCTCTGCTACGTGTAATCATTCAAAGAATTGAGAGCTGAGACATCTGGCGGCCGATTATTTCGGCGTTTTAAGTCCATTGTATACAAAACAAATACTAAATATTAACTTGATACGAATACATCTCAATAAACCGATGACTGTAGGTTGTAACTGTAAATATTCCTTTCTGGTAGAGAGTTTTTCAACTGCTTCAAAAAAAACTTGATGGTTCTCAGAGAAAATATATTTTGATATTTTAAATATCCTTCTTAATTCTATAAAAAAAAACAATCACATTATTTTATAACAAGAATATAAGGAAAAAATACATTTAATGAAAAATGTTTTAAAAAAAAAGGGTGGAAAAAGATTTTTTGAATAAAAGTTAATATGGCCAACCTTGAGGTGTTGTGTATAAGTTGGAACTAAATAAAATGTACGAGTACAAGATTCTAGAAGGGGAGGGGGAAGGGAACGAGTTGACCGACAGTTCTATAGAGGGGAGCAAGTGGGATTTGGCTGAGGCAAGGGGGTATAAAAACAGGTATTAGGATAAATCAAAATAAAAACATCACAGGGTTATAAAAAAAAAAAAAAAATCTTTAAAAAAATGTTTACTATTGGCAAAAAATTAAAGACAATAAAAACAAAACAAAACAAAGGAACTAAGGCAACTATAATTTTACATTTTTCTGTTTATTTCACAGATTTAAACTTGTGGATGAACCAAGATTCTCTAACCATCCTGTAGGTTCTAGACTCATCCGTTCACTTCTCCCATATAGAAGTCTCCAGTTCCGACATATTATGTCCTAAAGGTTCTAGACTCATCCCTTCACATCTCCAATCAGGGGCGGATACAGGGGGTGGCGGGGGGACATTCGCCACCCCCTAACAGATTAGGGAGGGGCGTAGCCCCTTCCTGAGATTTCGAGGCAAAAAAGTTCCCAATTTTATAAATCGTATGTGTTTTTCAATTTCAAGCTTTTTTATTTAATGGAAATCTTGACTTTCTTTTCTTCAGTTTAATTTAAAAATAAACGACAACAAGTAAATGTTATTGTTAACGATAAATTTAGAATTAGAAATTTGTAAGAAACTAGACTTAAGTTATAATATTGTTCATATCTAGTAATGTTCCTTAATCAATACTCATTTATCAAAATTGTAATATTGGTCTTAATTTTGATGCAAGTATAACTAGTATTTTCTTTTTGTTTTTAAATTGCTAATGTTCCTATTATTGTTCCTGTTCCTAATACTGTGTCCGACCCAACTTAAATCCCTGTCCTAATCCAATATTTTTGTTCCTAATTCCTGGACAATCTTTTTATTGTTCCTAAATCCCTGTCCTAATCCATTTTTTTTGTTCCTAATTCCTGAACAATCTTTTTATTGTTCCTAAATCCCTGTCCGAATCCTTTAATTTTGTTCCTAATTCCTGAACAATCTTTTAATAGTTCCTAAATTCCTGTCCTAATCATTTCTTTTTGTTCCTAATTCCTGAACAATCTTTTAATTGTTCCTAAATTCCTGTTCTAATCCGATAATTTTGTTCCTTAAAGTTAAAAATCTAGTTTTTTAGTCTTTAGTCATTAATTTTGACTCTTTTTGAGTCTTTTAAGTCAAAAATAAATTTCGCCTGCGGCACGATTTTTTGTTCCTAATTATTAATTTTTTTTGTTCCTAAACAATCTTGCCCCCCCCTCACTTAAATCCTGTATCCGCCCCTGTCTCCAATATAGTAGCCTCCAGTTCCGACATATTATGTCCTGTAGGTTCTAGACTCATCCC